TTGTTTTTCGTTATATTTAACTGAATTAAATATTTTCTTTATATTTAACTGAATTAAATATTTTCTTTATATTTAACTGAATTAAATATTTTCTTTATATTTAACTGAATTAAATCTTTTCTTTATATTTAACTGAATTAAATATTGAGTTAAGTATGTTATAACCATTATAGTTGAGCTGTCCTTAATTTCTGTTTCAGCTTACTGCATGAGCTTTCTAAGAGCAAGAATCTGTGAACTATCACTGAATCTGTGAACCATCACTGAATCTGTGAACCATCACTGAATCTGTGAACGATCACTGAATCTGTGAACTATAACTGAATCTGCGAACCATCACTGAATCTGTGAACTATCACTGAATCTGTGAATCATCACTCAATGGCGTGACCAAGTGCGCCACTGACTGCCCTTTGTCAGTTGACATTTTGTTAGCTTACTATCTCCAGGTTTCAGCATAACTACAGTTTATGTTACATTTGATGTAACTGTCAGCTGGTCATAAAGTACTTGAGAATATTGTGTAACAAACATTTGGAATTTAATCATTCTGGACTTTTGGACTATGGCCTTTCATACAATGAAGAATTGAACTGACTCACTTCTAAAGGTAAGTCTCGTTTTGATAATTTATAGGTTGTACATATTCATCTCATTCGTTGATATTGTGTTTATGTTTTTGCATGCTAACCAGTTACAATATGTTAATGCATAGTGCAATGCGTTATAAGTATAAATTACTTCTTCAAGCATGAAATCATAATCAAACTTAATCATCAAGTATAAAGCTGACGTATGTAGGTAAGACTGTGAAACACACGGGATGCTGGGTTGAATGTTACGTTATGAATACGTGTGTAATGTATGAATGTTTCATGTGTGGGAGTGTTCATGAAGCAGTGTTTAGTATTATATATTATACATGTATATATTTGTGTATTTTATATAATGTTGGGAAAATAAGAGATTCTGATGTTTTGTGTAAAACCAGGGATAATCTACAACGTTATACAGTCTCCCTGGTAAAACGCATGTAACTTCTTATCATATTTATGAATGTATTTTGGGCCAGTGGCCTATTCCTGAATAAACTGTCTGTCTGTCTGTCTGTATTATACATGTATATATGTTAGAATGTTTCAAATTACTCAGCAGTAACTAAACGTATCTGTTTGTATGAATATTACTGTCATTTGATTGGTCTTCACAATATGTCTATTTCTTCATTCATTCGTCATGCAGATGGGGCGGTGGGGTAGCCTAGTGGTTAAAGCGTTGGCTCGTCACGCCGAAGACCCGGGTTCGATTCCCAACATGGGCACAATGTGTGAAGCCCATTCCTGGTGTCCCCCGCCGTGATATTGCTGGAATATTGCTAAAAGCGGCGTAAAACTACACTCAGTCAGTCAGTCAGTCGTCATGCAGATGTAGCTGTGTTACTTATGCCGCTGTCGATGTCTGCTAATGCCAGTACAAGGAAGTTTATCTGTTTAAAATTATAATAGATCGCAAAGGGGTACATTTAAAGACATATATTTGATGTGAAATTATATTATGTCCGATGAATATTTTACATTTGTTTCAGGGATCAAATCAGCTATCAGAAATAAACTTAGCCATAATGCGAACAACATCGGTGTCTGTTTATGTCATGCACCTTTTTGAGGGCGAGGGACACCAAGAAGCTTCATGTATTGTAACTATTTGAGAAATTAAATCCGACAGTTATATGTACTAATGAGGTGAGGTGGAATTGGGTTTTACGTCGTACTTGAGAATATTATGTCGACGTGCATGCGTGTGTATGTGTATGTGCGGCAGCTTGTACTAGCTTGTACTTTTATAGTGCTAGCCCACTGAGATACCATGCCGCGGTGAAGCATGAAGACCCCATTCAGACACATTATACTGACTCCGAGCCGACCAGTCCTGTACCCATTAATGCCGAGCGCCAAGCAGGGACCAACAAGTACCATATTTTAACGTCTTTTGGTATGACGCGGTCGGGGATCGAACCGACGACCTTCCGCTCTCCGGGCGGACGCTCTAACCACTACACCACGGAGGCGGTCTATGTACTAATGAGGGAGTTGTTAGATGCATATATAATATTAATATAACAGAGATGTTATGGCCAATGTTTCTTGAGTCTGACATGTTACATTGGCGATGTCATACACCTATCAGATATCAAAGCTATACTTGATAGCTACATGAGCAAGTACCTGGAAACATTCAGGCCGTATAGCTGAAATATTGCTGAATGCGGCGTTAAGTAAATAGACCAGATTTCTAATGAATCCATGACGTTCGTATCACATTCTCCTCATCGTACTGAAAAATACAAACCAAGTGTGACAACGTTTTTATTCCATTTGCTCATTTATATACATACAATCGCAGCAGCATGGGCTTGTCAAGCTACATACATGGACGAAACAAGAACACTGGGGCGGGGGATCGTAGGGGAGACAGCAGGTGCGTGAAATAACGTCAGTTGGGCAGCCACCAGTTGTGGGAGGAGTATCACATCAACGCTTTACCTAGGCAAGGTGTACACCCCAGCCCTTGACATATGAGTATATACACTAGTCATCTACAGTATCACATCAGGTTCACAATGTACACATGTATAGCACCGCGTTCTACTTACATTCAACGCTTGATACCAATAGTCGTTTCATTTGTCACTTACAAGATTGTACATAAACATTCTGTACAAATAACGATAGTCATTTCTTGTGTCCCGATCAAGTAGTGTCGACCAGAGTGTTGCAACAACTGGAACAACTTTTGGCAGCATCAAACATAACACAATCCATAAATAGGTTCCGACTGAGATTGGAACAAATGGATTCTGGCAACGTCCTTTGTGTTGTGATCTTCAACAGCATATGTCTTGGTTAGTTTGGTCTGTGACTTTTCATTCAAATACTGTAAAGAGTTTGAAATATTTCTCTATATTTGCATGATCCTTTCAGGCACAGACATATCCGTCAAGGTTGATTACCAGGTGCTCTAATTATATCAAAGTTCTGAAAAGATATGCAAGTTCCGAATGTTGACACAAGTTTGTCCACTAATACATCTGTATGATGAACACCCTAAGGTGGTGATGATAACCTCCGTTGATCCATATGCAAATTATTAGAGCAGGTATTTGCGACTGGTAGTTCACGTTCATTAAACTGTTGAAATAACAACAAATTGTTGTAGTGTATGGGTTTTATTGGACGTGTTTGGCGGAGGAAGGCGGAAGAAGAAGGGCGTTATGCCAACTGTAACAACGTACTGAAACAAAAATAATCCATGTAAACATACAAGCACAGGAAGGGAACAACAACTACACTCAGTGGCGGATCCGAGAGATCCACTGACTGACTGACTGAGTTTGGTTTTACACCGCTTTTAGCAATATTCCAACAACATCACGGCGGGGGACACCAGAAATGGGCTTCACACATTGTACCCATGTGGGGATTCGAATCCGGGTCTTCGGCGTGACGAGCCAACGCTTTAACCACTAGGCTACCCCACCGCCCCTCCTGAGAGATCCAACCATGTAGGGCTGGGACGGGTCAAAACTTTCTACCCGGGTACCCCACCCGCTATTACCCTACCCGGATACCCGTTATGGTAATTCCTGACATCAAATTTGCAAGAAATGGCCCTATATTCTTCAGCTCGGAGGCAATATCTCAACCATGTATTATATTCAAAAGAAGTGACTGTAATCATGTCTAAAGTTTCAAAGACAATACAACCTTTTGATCATGAAAGAATAGCATATTACATTGTTTAATCTATTAGTCACATGAACATAACGGGTCCGGGTATTGAGACGGGTACCCGGGTCCAATCCGTTACCCACCCGTCCCGGGTATTCGAGTTACACGTCCCAGCCCTACAACCATGATAACACGACGATTTGGGTTTCTTGGAGGAAACTGATAACGTTTTACATATAGTGATTACTTATTGTGATTTTATGGTAGGCTTTAGGTCGGTGACCTCACCCAGTTAGAAATGTGCCCAAACATAACCCTTTTCTTAATTCCTGGATCCGCCCCTGAATAACATCTTTCAGTGAAAATAGAAATACTTCTTATCCGTTTATATATTTCTTAATATGTTGTTTTCAAAAATACATCGGTTTGTTTCCAACACCTACAACCATTCCTGAGGACGACTGAAGGTGTCATAATATCCGTTCAATGGTATTTCAGTTGAAACTGCTATGTGCTTTTATTATAAGAAACAGTAAAATAGCCTACCAATTGCTTCTTTTGACCCCACAAGGTGCACAGATATTGGTTGGGAAGTCGCACTCTCTGGTCGTGGGGTTGAAGTAGAACCCGCCCTGTCGTAACGAGCACTTGCCGTAACCCCTGAACATCTCGTTCTCGCATGCGTAGTAGTACTGGCATCCCCTCAGCGGGGCTGGATACGCCCCGTCAGTCTTTCCAAGACAAGACGGAGCAAGGCCGCACGGGGGAGGGGTGTTGTTGACAACGTCACATTTTCCAGTGACATGGTTAAAGACGAAGGCCGTTCCGACATTCGTCGATGTGCACGACGAAGTTTCGGTGGCAGCGGTAGTAGGACATGCAATGGTTCGTCACGTCAGCGTAGTTACCGTCCCTTTTGTTGAAGCAGATGTTTGGTTCATCTCCGCACGGGGCTGGGATCTGAAGAGAGAATTTGCATTTCCCCTTTGCTGGACTGAAGGAACCGTACGGGCAGCGCATATACCCCATCATCTGACCGTTTTTGCAGTGGTGATACATCGTACAGCGGCCGAAGGGGTCAGCATAGAAGCCATCCTGTACGCCGTGGCAGAAGTCGATGGTGGTGTTGCCACATGGCGCTGTAGCAGTGTCAAACGCGCATTTCTGATAGATTGGGTCAAACACCTCCCCTTCCGCACATGTTCCGTGTTCGGCGAAGTTCCCTTCGTGGCAGCTGAAGAAAGTGTCACATCGGCCTGTCTCATCCGGGTAGTAACCATTGTGACGTCCGGAACAAGATGGTTGCGTGCCGCCATTTATTTTCGGTATGTCCATTAACCTCTCGCATTTTTTCGTCCCTGGGGAGAAGATGGGCGTGTCTTCGGGGCAGTCCTTCTGGTCTACTGTTCTGTCGGACTCACAGACGAGGTACTTCGGGGTCCACTCCCGATCTGGGAAGGGTGGTTTCCGTCTTCCAGACCCACACAACTACCGTGACGGACTGGACAGGGGAGGCACGGGGTATGGTGGCACTGGTTCATCCGGTACTCGCCTGAAACACATGACACAGAAACATAATCTAACAGGAAACCTAAGTGAAACTGATCGAGTATTTGTATGACTGCATTTCGTGAGTTAAAGTTTGAATAGCAATCTTTACGTCCCGAGCTGACAGCATGTTAAATATAGGCTACAAGATACAAAGCGGATGTGGGGTTGGTAGCGTTGTCGTAAAAGCGTCCTCTAGTCACACTGATGATCTGGGTTCAGTTCCCAAATGTGTGCAGCGATACTGTTTTCAAACCGACTGCTATACGAAATACTGTCGAATTCGACGTGCCACTTACATGGTGCTCTAAGGACCTTCCTGGCGCCACAGTCGACCTCCCTGAAGTGTGTGCACTCCCTCGTGCTGATGGAAAAGAGGTGGGGATAAGTACATTCCTGGGTGAGGGGCTCCAAGTACGCCCAGTCCTCCTCCCGGGGGATGAGGGAGCAGTTGAAGTACCAGTGGCAGTACTCGGGGTGGGGCAGCAGCGTCTCCTGCTTGGTAAACACGCACGGGTGGTTCGGGTACACTCCTGGAACCAGATTGGCGCACAGTTAGGCATAGAGTGATTACATGTTGAAAAGTTGAGATACATTCTAGGTTGTCAAGGTTGGGCATTCAAACAAGTTTTGTATGTAAGTAATAACTACTGAAAATTTACCATGGGCCGTGATCAGTTTGAACCGACAATTGTAATAAAGAAATGCTAATTTGTCAGTAATTACATTTCAAGCCTCTTAACATCACTAAAATAAAATATTTTATACGTTTTCCATGTTTATATGAGTGCATATTTGCGCAGATGACAATTTTTCGACAAATATTATTTTATGTTGCGTGTGCACTCCATTAAGAACATTTAATCATTCGGCTCAATACAGACTACTACAGTGCAACATTTTAAAAGAAACCTACAGCGACAGCTCAGAAGCCTTTTCAGGACTCCATCAAAGTACAAACAACGTTTCCCCACACAACACTATAAGAAGTCCAGACACAGTTACACAACATGATTCTAACGGGACTGTTTCAGGGGAGCCTATTTACATTCAACATGGTCATACACGAAACATGCCCACTGCCGAACTCCGGTACACAACATCCCGGGGCTACGTGCTGGCGGCCGGGTCAGGGTCATGTGGACGTTACGTTACAGACGCTAAGTGGTCAAAACTAACACTTGTAATAAACACGAGCTGCTCTACGTGACCACTGAGGCAGAAACAATGTGCTGAGGGTCAATACTTGACCGTCATATCTAGGGTAAACCAAACAGCGGGAGGGGACGGGCAAATAACGCCAGCACCTATTGGACACTATTCGTCATATTCACCTTCGTGATAGTGTCGACCCTTTGAGGGATGATATAAGTTATTATATGTCGTCGGTTTTGTTATTCTTAAAGGTTTAATACTCGCTTTATTATTTATGCTACTTTCGTTCACGGGAAAAAACAAAGCGCCGAGGTGTTGAAATATGAATAAATACATGTATTATTTATTTAAATATTTTGATTCAGCCACGCAATTCAGTACTGGAGGTAATTTTGACAAAACCGTCAATGATTGCAATTACAATAGTACACTTTATTCGGTAAGCCATGTTAGGTGGACTTTGATGACAAACACATACTGCTGTCAACTAAGCCTAAAACAATCATATATATACTTCAATAAAAATTGAAGGGGGTGACAACCATTATTGACATGAGTATATTTACCTCTAACCTTTTATTTCTTTAAATATTTTCATGAATATGGATTCTGTCATTTCAAAATACTAAACACAAACAGCGGTGTTCAGGTACATATTTCGTAACTAGCATGTGTTACACATTCATAAACTTTCTCCTCTATTTTGCCTGTTACTAACAAATATAATATTTCATCGGATACTTGACACTGATTATTCTCCAGCGTTTAAACCAACGCTGTGTATTTGAATATTATAAATGACATACATACATGACATACTGGGCTTCTCATGTAAGAAATATTTTGTTTCAATTTGGCTTTGCAGTTCTGTGGATAAGTCATGACATTGGCAATGTTATAAATAAATTAAATGTTTATTTCTGTTTTTTAAACAGAGATTATTTGATTCCTTGAGTCAAGAATGTTATTGTATTACTTCACAGTTGAGCAAGTGTCAAACTTATTGTCAATTTATAACTATGTTACATGTTGAATCTTATCTTTCAATTGACATGTCTTTGCATCTGAGAACTGTTATTTGTAAATTCAGGTGTAACAATTTCAGGTTAGCAATTGAAACAGGTAGTCATTGTAATATTATTGCTGGCGAGGGGCTTTGTTTTTATTGTCACAGTAAACATGTATTCCTTGTAGAAAATGAATTTTATGTCTTACTGATTTGTTAACGCTGTAAGAATAGAATGTTTTCATCCTAGCATAAGAAATAGCCCTTCTATGGACACTTTTGTTAGAATCATGTCGAGTAGTGACAAAATGTATTGCTAAGTTTAGCAAAGTGTTTATATAAAGTTCTTAAGATAAGAAATACATCAAATTATGATTATTACATTTTCAGCATATGAACTGACATTTTGTTTGAAAATTTGGTATAATATCTCAATTGTAATTTTACGAGAGCTTCTTAGATTTATGGTGTGACAACACTGATTAGGTAAAGTCTGTACCTGTAATGTAAGACCAGCATCAAAACACTTGTAACACATTACTGTAATATGGGCAATGGCCTTGAATACGTGAATAAAACTGTCTGTCTGTCTGTCTGTCTGTCATAAATGGCATACACTGATGCTCCTTGTCAACAAACTATCATTTGACACCTACAATCACCGTGCAATTCAGAACCATTGTGACAATGTTATGGAAGCCATGTTAGTCATATGTGCAACAATCAACATATCAAGTGAAAGTTGTTACAAACACAGGTTGAGAATAATCGGACACTGCAGAAACTTGATGGTGGTATGAAACAAGATATAATTCAGTTTGTTTGCTTGCTTATTCTTTTGCTTGTGTCGCACTCCTGCAGCTACAACACGGCGGCCTGCAGATCATTGCGTCATTATGACCTTCGATCCACGCCGTCGATATAGCCTATGATGCCACGGCAGGTTGACTGACCACAGACTCTCCTCCTTCGACCAGCACAGATTGTTGGGGACGCATCGGGTTTTACTCCGAGGGGAATCCCCGCCTAGAGGTCCAGTGGACATTATTCCTTAGACAAAGACTGACTGACTGAGTTTGGTTTTACGCCGCTTTTAGCAATATTCCAGCAACATCACGGCGGGGGACACCAGAAATGGGCTTCACACATTGTACCCATGTGGGGATTCGAACCCGGGTCTTCGGCGTGACGAGCCAACGCTTTAACCACTAGGCTACCCCACGGCCCCCACCACTCCTTAGACAAAGATCAATACAGTATTTATCGACAACGTATTATCGCCTTGCGCCTGTTATCATCGAGTTCATGTGCCAGGAATTTCTTCTAAAACCATTCACGGAGAAATACTGAAACATTTAAGACTTTCCTGCTTACATCCCTTACAAAATCCCGAACAATAACGGTATTGTATCAGTGAAATTGTCCGGATTAACACAGGGTCAGGTAACACGAAGAACCTTCACAAGATGTTATGACAATTGTCAGTAGTGCTTTCTTATCTGAGAAACAACATAATTTCATATTTTGGACTTGAGCGAATACCACAAGGATATGTAGGGCTACAATGCATTCACTTATTTTTGAAGCAGTGATTGGAAACTTGACTCATACCACCCCATGTTGCCTACCCTTTCCTGCCAGAACGTATATTTACGTCTTGTGGCTTCCTCCCGTTGTTTTAAATGATCATTTTAAATGTGTCTATTAAATGATTTCAGGAAATGCGTCTCTTTAACTCACAATGACTTTCTTAGGTCACACCTCAGAATGTCAGCAAAACTGACATTTTACGCATTTGCCCATATGTATGTTTTCATGTAACACGGACAGAAATACTTAAACTATAAAACAATACAATGACTTGTCAGACATATTTTGTAAAGAAGTTTAAATATTTTTCTTCGACTTTGGTGGACAAAGGAGAACCCTCATACCTCGCCCTTTCCGGAGATATGTGTTTTCAGAATGCCATATTATCTATATGTAAATAAATGATCACGCATCTGCCCCAAAGTTAAGTTTTTAGATTAACTGTTCCCAACGAATCACCGTATACGGCTGCATGAATGAATGGATTAATCTTACAAACACCGTTATCTTGAAATAACTAAACCCGAGCTCCGATACATATTGATATTATACAAGGTAACTGTTTAACATAGCAATGTATTCTGAAATAAAGGCATTGGTGCATCTACACTCTTCCTTACCTAATGTAACCTCTCGTTCCAGCTCCCGCAAAGCGATTTCTATGTGCCCGATATTTTACTAACAACTAAATATACGTCAATGGTTTGATATTCGGAAAGGGGTGGCGATTGGGAGAGTAATGTTTTTCAGACAAATATTGTCTAAGCTTCCTGCCCCTCTAACAAGAACTTGTACTTACGCCTGATGGCTTCCTGTCGCTTTTCCTCTGGACTGGGGATATGAACAAGCGCATCCATCCGGTCGGACACCGCAGCAAACCCACGTCTGCCGTTCATCGTGAACCTGGCTGCTTCTCTGGAGTCGTTAGAGGAGCTGGTGATGTTGCAGTCGTTCCAGCGGGAGTTGTCGGGGACGCAGTTTCTGCCGGACACGGACCAGACGTAGTTGCGAGGACATGGCGGCATCTGGACCGAGCGTCCGGCTACACAGATGTAGTAGCGGTGACAAGTCTCCGGGTCGCGGACCCACTGGACGCCATATACACGGCGACAAGGGTTGGGAGACTGTGCACGCCGCTTCCTTACGATCAGACTCAGCTGGACAACGCCGATGACGGTGAGGATGATGAAGATGACGATGCACTTTTCACGCAGACGACTCATCATGCTGCACGTGCCCAGCTGACTCCCGGGCTTCTTGAATTTTGAAGCTATTTTGAAGCTTGGGGCAGAAACGAGGATGAGGCTAACCAAGCACTTTGGGCAGTGCGTGTGAAGCGGAGGTCAGAAACAACCAGTAATGTGCAAATCAGAAGTGCAGTAATGCGGTAGCCAATCACTTTCTGTGTAGCTAAAACACCAAGTTCAGTAACAGAACGCTAGGGTAAACTTGTCTCAAATACTCCTCGACGAAAGTACGAAAGTTCGAGAAATATTCACAGCAACACCACTCCAAAGGTCAATCCAAGTTGAAACCAGCAGTGGATAAATCGTCTTGAAGAGTTTCCCACTTCAACTCCGATTGCAGTCGTTGATTTCTTAATTCTGGCTAACCAGACGGCTGGTGTGAGACGAACGAAGAACTCACGGCAGACGATATTTCACCCAAATCTTTGAAGACTTTTATTTTCCAGTCGGTGCCCACTTATCGTCTACTGGAGCCGTGGTTTGGCTCTGTCCCTAACGGCTGCTGGGCTTGCACTGGTGTGACACAAGAAAGACGCCGTTTTATAGTACGGACAAGATGGTCACATCTAGGATGGTCCAAGCTCTCGTGTACACGACCGCCAGCGAACAAGCCAGCCTGTAGGTACAAACATGGCCTCGGTATTAGTCGGCTTGTGTCAATTGGCTTCTTGTTTAGACGCCATCACGTTGGCAGGCCATACAGGCCAAGTCACTTGTTCAGTATGTTTTAGGATGGACGGAATGTAAATCAGATTGTTGATACATGGAACTTTTTTCTCCTTTTCAATTTCAACACCACTGGCGTATTTGAAAACATTTGCTGTCGACATGTCCTCTTATAGTGCTCTGCCAGCAGGACTTGGACTGGCTTCACCATTGAGGTGTACTCCGAATACTTACACCCACGATCAAGGGGCCGTGTGTATGTATATATATATTTAAACACCACAACTTGAGGACAATAGCCCTATCGGTAAGTAAATATATATGTGATATTGCTGACGGTGCATGTATGGTATAACAAGGTGAAAATACTATAATGAAGTAGAAGCTTATTATGCAGATAAAAACTGTATGTGTTTGGTGAAGATGTGCAGTTGTTCGGTCTAATGTTTCATCCACATTTCCCCACCCATCCAAATTTGTGAATATTATACATTGTCGTTAATTATCAGATTAAGTATATGGTAGGTTGCTCTGGGTTATCCGTGAACTAACAGAAGTTATATACTACCCAAACTGCCATGTTATGGGAAGGTGAAGTTTCCAGGTACAGAGCTCAGGACTAAAGAAGCTGTGGAGAGATATTGCTCTGTAGCCGGAACAAACATACATGTACATTCGCTGATGTCACTTTATACCTCAGTCGGTAGAAATGTTCATAAACAGTCAAATAGATCATTATGCCTTATTTGCAAAATGGGGGCGGTGGGGTAGCTTAGTGGTTAAAGCGTTGGCTCGTCACGCCGAAGACCCGGGTTCGAATCCCAACATGGGTACAATGTGTGAAGCCCATTTCTGGTGTTCCCCCGCCGTGATTTTGCTGGAATATTGCTAAAAGCGGCGTAAAACCACACTCAGTCAGTCAGTCAGTATTTGCAAAATGACATATTATTTTAGAAAATTACGTCTTGTTTGGAGGACGTTATCGTCACTTACGGCTCTGGCTGAAGTTAGCAAACTAAAACAGGCAGCATTATCCTCTCACTATTATCATTATGTTAACGTCCTTTTCTCAGGGGCAGCTCAGGGGAGAAAGAAGTTGCGATAAACATGGCAGTTTCTGTTACAGTACGAGGTATTTGGTATATGGTGTGTATGTGTGTTTGGCCACAGCAATACAGTGAGAAGCACAGTCTTTGTGTTCCCCCACCACCGAGATAGCCTCAATACTATGACTAAAAATAATTTGTACATTTTTAACATGTACAAATTATATTAAAACACGGTAGTATGCTAATTACAACCTAGAGCCCAAACCCGTCAATCCGTAGATACAAGTTACGGTGTCATATACATGTATATGAATGAGTTAGCGAGTTTAATTTTACGCCGCAATCAGCAATATTCAAGCTATATGTAAATACAGACAATCCAGTGATCAACAGCATGAGCATCGATCTGCGCATACTCTCTCTCTCTCTCTCTCTCTCTCTCTCTCTCTCTCTCAGTGCAACTTGTTCTCAACAATTCACTGTTGTTTGTTCTTTTTTTCTCAATATGACGTGTGCTGGTTAATATTCCGCTTCTGTTTTAAAAAAGTGAGAAGTTTAATTGACACTTGCAGCCAAATAGCACGGCCGTTCGTTTGCGTAAGAAAAACGTGTTAATTCAAGTTGCAAACACAGAAACTAGTAAATACGCTGTTAGCACTATACGTGCCTTGGAAACACTGAAACAATGTACCTGGCACTTGGATTTCGAAAACAATGGCTCATGCCCGCATTCCAACACCTGCCATGAGTGTTACGCTTTTCCAATGGCTGAATACTTTGATCTAATACCTATATCCTACTAATATCGAAATTATATATACTTCTATCCAACTGCAGACTAAATTTTGAATACTTCAAACATACTGATACGTAGATAATGGATACTTGTATAATTGATAAATTACCATGATAACTGTATTACGAATACTCATATCGTACTGATAACTTAGCTTTTATACATATGACCAAGAGCATTCGTTGGGTAGCTCTCGAATGGTAGTTCAGGATGGTGGACAATGGACGGAAGACAAAAGTCAACGGTAGAGTTGAAGACAGCAGCCATATTTACTATGGTTGGGGAATAATGGTTTAAATGTTACAAGTTGATTGTAAACACGTGACAGAGCGCTCATCGGGACCGAGTAGCCAATGTTCCCGACGTGGAGACCCGCTCTGTCACTTTCACACATGCAGAAGTCGGACAGCAATTCTTCATCGTCGACGTAGCCGTTGGTGAGGCGACGGCTTTGGCCGACGCCGCGACTAGCTGCACAATCCGTTCGTTTCTGTGGATGATCTGGGCCCTGTCTCCTTCACTGGAGGCCATCTCCCCGACACGTCTCCTGCTCGTCTCTCCCACTGATCATGTCAGTCAGGTTGTATACTTTCTCTAGACATTACGCCACGGTGTGCAAGGTCCCTTTCCTATGAACCTCTGAAGGTAGATGTGTAGGTATATTTTTGTTTACCACGTTTGTTCGCAAATGCCCCATGGATAAAGGAATGAAGTTTTTCCTTAAGTTTGCCATGTGGGATAGTGGTATACAATGTTGAAAAATCAAATGTTTTGACAGTTTTTGAGAATCCACTTGGTATATATTCCGATTGTCTCAAAATATTTCGGTGAATATCGAGAAGGTCCTTCCATGATAGTATTAAGAATTATTGTTAATCTTTGACACAGGAATTTGGTGGTACATGTGCTGGAACCAGCAATATATCTCTCCTTGTACGGAGTTTTGGAACAAAAGAGGAATGGACATGTCTTCAGGTTTAAGAGTCAAGTCAAACGTTGATTGCAGAGCTGAATGGTTTAGGCAGATTTCTTCCTCAGTTAACATACTGGCCTTATATGTGACATTATTTGATACGTCGTATATATCAAGCTCTTTGATCAACCAATTTATGTAATGATGTTATACATATATTGGTTATGAAATCTTAAATATTTAACAACATTTTGTGAAACTGTTTGTTTTGCCTCAGAATGTTGCATGCGGTCTTTGTCTGATTCAGGTGGGTGTGTTCCATGCTTTGTCAAACGGTTCGATATTCCTACTGATAACTAAACTACAACACGTATATCCTGCTGACACCCAAATTCTAATAATAATATGGATTCTTATATTGCGCTAAACTCCACACCAAAGTGTGCTCAAAGCGGTAACAGAGTTCATAGATATAACGTGTGTTTACAATCCATTTCTATTGAACAGGTAGGTCTTAAGATGCTTCTTGAACTGAGTTAGAGTTGATTTCAGATCATTTGGGAGAGCCTTATAAGCGAAGGATCTTCCGCCAAATGCCTTGAGATTGATGTTGGGGACCTGAAGTAGCATTTGATCACTGGAAAGGAGAGTTCTTGTAAGGACATCCTCTTCGACAAGATCACACAGAAAACCTGGAGCTGTATCATTGATACACTGATATGTGAGGTGAGGTGACATTGTGTTTAACGTCGTGCTTGAGAATATTTCGCTCATATGACGACGTGCATGCGTGTGTATGTGTATGTGCGGCTGCTTGTACTAGCCCAGACATACGCTGGTTTTATAGTGCTAGCTCACCGAGATACCATGCCGCAGTGAAGCATGAATACCCCACTCAGACACATTATACTGACTCCGGGCCGACCAGTCCTTGTTGTACCCATTAATGCCGAGCCCCAGGCATGGACCAACAAGTACCATATTTTAACGTCTTTTGGTATGACGTGGTCGGGGATCGAACCCGTGACCTTCCGCTCTCCGGGCGGACGCTCTAACCACTACACCACGGAGGCGGTCCAGATTCCCTTTGAAACTTCTTGAACGTGTAACATCTGAAATAATAACACGTTATTTCCTTCGTGAATAAGATACAAATATGAGCATTCCTTAGCATTACGGCATGAGAGGCACATATTTTACTCCAACGTTTCGCTTATTGAAAATGATCACACTATCAGATAGAATGACTCGCATGTCGGAGGAGCACACCGTGTGTGAGGTCGGGGACGTTTGATGGAGGTCATCCTGGCTCCAGAGTGGAGATGCTACTCAGGGTTACACGCCAGGTGAGTGGAATGTCCTTTCTCAAATCTCAAGGTGAGGTAGGATCATGCTTTTCCAAAAGACCTTAATTAAAGTCACTGGCCCTTATATCTACGAGAACCATATACCAGAAGAGTTCATCTGAGATTGATAATACACGACAGTCCTACAGATACAACTACATGTCACACAGATATCCTAAGATCTGGAAGAAAGAGTAACGGTATCTCTACTATACCCCAGTGTGGGAGTAAAGCTCGGATAGATGCAGGTCTCGGGTTTACCAAATGGCAACGCCCACAGGCATGATACTGACAAACCTATGGCCACAAACACAGGGCGAATCTGGGATTCGAGGAATTCTGAGGAAATAATGCTGCAACAACCTAGGATGATACGTTTCCCAGTTTTATAGTAAAACTTTCATTACCGTTACACAAGCAAGTTAAAGTCATAAATATTACCAAACACATAAATCTTGTGGTTTCTGAGAAGATACGACACTTGTTCACCGATTGTTTGATCAAGGTCATAAGTGAAGCTTCCAGGATGGTGTCATGGTTGACACGTTGAGGAAATTACCAAATTTGATGCATAAGAAAATAATGTCAGTTGCAGGTGCTTATGCTGAGTTGTATCTTCCCGAATTTTTTTTCTGGTGAACACTCGCCTTGGATTTGCATGTGTTTGTGACAGGTGCCACAAGTCGGGCAGCATACACTCGATCACCTGGTGTTTTCATGGCAATGCATAACCATATTCTCATGAAATGGTTGGACATGTACTATGGTACAATCGACAACTTACATCATTTAAGTTTCAAAATTCCTTGGTATATCTCGAACTTTCGATTAGTTTCTTCAAATTTCGAGTATTTTTCTGTGGTCAACTAAAAAAGCAGAATAGTTAAAAAACGAACGCCAAATCAATATATCCAGACAAATTTGCAGTAAGTGAAAAACACTCCATAGTTAAAAAAAACCCAACTGGACAAAATTTCGTAAGGCTCAATCCAAAGTTGACCATAAGACGTACTCTCTTTTTTTCATATCTTTATAAGACCTTGCACTTTCTAAAATGGAAGTTCTTACAATTTTGTTAATATTAACAATTATCTTTCGATCACAATTAATTGATTTTTATTATCCAGTCCATGCCATGAAAATATCCAGTTCATGATGTGGTCCACTGTCATCAAACGGCTCAGTCATATTTCAGCTCTGTGGTAATTAGAAGGCTTGTTCCTTATTTCTCAAGTATCAAGTGAAAAATATCACCATCTCCTTGCCTTTCATGGAACGTTGCACAATATTGCAGCCCCCACAGGCATGCTATAGTTTGTTGTCAGTTTTACTGCCCCTTAAGAAAGAATGCTTGAATAAAGAATAATTCTTCATTTGGCTGTCTATTGGGGTATAACTAAGGATTATTGCACTATGAAGCGACATGTATGTGTGTGCGCACTATTCAAGACTAAATGACGGTTTTATAGTGTTTGCCGACCGAGATACCATTTCGCAGTTTTACACAGCCATTCAGACAGTCCTGTTATCTCCTTGATCACGAGACGTGGCACGGAAATAGTTACCACAGTTTAAAGTGATGGTATGACATGACTTAGGTTTCTAACCATAGCTTTGGAGACGATCCTCCCCCACCATTACTGTCGTGTTCCAAGATACAATACCATGTCTACCAAACAAATATGAAATCAAGAGTTATCAAATATGTCTTCACAAAGATGAAAATGGTTGAACAATTTAGTGTATCCAAACTGTCTGAAAACATGTACCATAAGTCAGTATATGCTCTTCGTGTTGTAATTTCACTTCATAGAGTTTTATAGGATTTTTTTAATATGATGATGTAAATTGAATATTACGACATAGAGAATGAGATGCACACTGAACCAAATCCAGAACTTTGGCATGACAAAACAACACCTTAACCTCAAGGCCACCTTCTCAATCAAGGCCAGTGGTGGATGAATGCAGTTTTATGCTGACGTCAGCAAGATTCCAGACAAACCAGTGATTGTTAACACGTAATTGATCTATGACACTATGGCACAATGACTCACAACTGGCGTGGTCCAGAGCCTGACTGAATCCTAGTCAGTAAGTATGACCCGATATCAATCAGTGCAAAACTGCATTTCAAGAAAGTTTACTGCTATTTGAATTACAAAAAAGTACAATGTTATAAAATGTTGGCATTACAATGTTGATAACCAATCAACAGCAAAATAGTATGAGTATAAGTATTTCAAATCTATAATGAAATTGAAAACAGTAAATTCCATTATCTTGTACTCAGAAACTACTAAATTCTAACAAAATATCCTTGAAAATTATTTTCTACAATAACAAACATGTTCCAACATATCATCCATGCAACACGACCTTCATTTGGATGTTAATTTGCAAAATGCACTGGACACATGACTTGTTTATTGACAACTACAAGTGTGTGGCAAGTTCAATGGTGTAGTGGATATTTTATGAAACTTTGACAAGGAAATTATCCTGCCATTGAGAAAATTAGATGTCATTGAAGGACGAATCCAAGTATTTGTGTTTATTCACTGAACACAGACTGACATTTTCATGGGTTATTCACCCAAAATACTTGCATTCCACCAACATTCCAAGGAACATTTCTTAATGGCAGAATCATTTCATTGTTGTCCAAATTCACATAAAATCTACTCCTCACCTGACATGCATGGCCAAGGAACAATGATGCTACCTAAAATGCTGAAGAGGAAATCCAAGCTAAAGAATACAATGAACACAGTTGTGGCGAAATAACACGGCCTGTCCTGGCGCAGATCCCTACACATCCAACAAAACATAAATTGATCTTAATGTCTTGAGATAACTAAGCAAAGAATGAGTGTGTGAGGTCTGACCAGTCATTACCTAAACAAGTGTAAACAATTCTAGTCAGTGGTAGACAACGTGACCACTGTCAGCTGGAACCAGATCAATGGTGAATAATGAGGCCAGGAGTGACATATTTTGAAAAGATTAACATCTGACAACTTCCTTTCTGTGGCTTAAACTAATATAAAACAGCTTTGATCTACATCCAGCTAACACCTTACTAACAATGTAACAATATCTCTTATGGAGTTATTACAACTGCAAGCGAAACGACACATGAAATAATGATATGAAAAATGTGTTTTTTTTACAATGAATGAGCTTGATGATAACTGAAAAGACATCAGCATTTCAACTGAAATACAAATATTTGTTTCTTCCTATGAATTTACCAATATATGTACCTATGTATGATAATGCATGTATACATGGACAATATTTGTTTTTCAGAAGCTGGTTCAAAAACTGTATACACTGATGTATATAACAAACTATAAAAAGTAATAATTAAAAATAATTAACCATCATTCTCTAATCATATGTCCAAATATAGTATGGGCAAGTGATGTATTGATGTTTCTATTAACAGTAACAAGTGGGCTTTCCTGATATTGGCCTTCAAGAAGATTACATAAAACTCTCGACTACAATAACAATAACAGTAATAATTCCATAAAAATGTCATGAAAAATTTCAAGACAGATATAAAAGTTAACATTTGAAACACTAAAAAACAAACTTTCAATATTTGTCCTCTAAAAGTATGGTAAAGTTTAAATTAAAAATCATAAGATTGGATAACAAGAATCAGAATTACACAACATACAATTTGTAAATATAGGCTTCTAAAGTGGACTTACTATAAACGATTTAACAATCATACTGTCTAAGGGCAGTGTAGGAAAGATGTAGAAAATCTAGCCTGTCCACAGGACTGGTAGGTCAAATTTTTTACCAGTCCTGCCAAAATCTGGCCTGTCCTCCAAATATAAATATAACACCTTCGGCAGTAAATATTCAAAAAGGTTATAATCATTATATATATGTCATTGGTTTGCTAAAATTGACCCGACATGAGGACGGACTAGATATTTTTTTAACCCGTCCTCCACAAAATTCACCCGTCTCGGACGTTGGGACGGGCTATCTTTCCTACACTGCTAAGGGTAAAATATAACAAAACGCTATATTCTGAGAATAATGCAAAAAATTAGAAACATATATTACCTGCATAAGTGTAACATGGACTTCCACTGTAAGGATTCCTTAGGTTGGTCTAATTAACACATGTAGCTACCTGAGACTACCAGAGACTATCTTCCCAACAACTGCTGTTGTAGACAACGGATTTGATGACAATGGGGACCAAACCTACATTGTGCAATACCCAATACCTCATAAAGTTGACAATGAACCCTGGAAAATAGGACTGGGTATTTCTGAACAGCCAATCAGATAAACTTTCTTCATTCCTTTTTTCTTTTCGTTGAAATCTGAATTTGACACCCATATACTGATCTATGATCTACTGAAAGTAGACAATGAATGCACTTGTGATGGCAAGGCAAAGGGCATCGTAAGCACGGTCAATAACATACGCCAGCATCGACCGCTTGGAAAAGCAGACGTGAGAGAGATCGGCCAGGGTCAGCAGAGCGGCGAGGCCAAGACCAGTCTTCAAGGCAACCTCGACCGATGTCACCTTCAGGAATGTGCTGTGGACAAAATGATTGTATGTAATAAACAAGTCCCTAAATATATATCGACACCACTCTCTATTCATTGTACCCGTGAAGGTCAAGGTTAGAATTGATCTTCAGTGACCTATGCTCGTCGTAAGGCCGACTAATTGGATCGGGACTAACTGTCATCGACTGGATCCAAACACATGTCATCGTGATCCAAATTACGTAGATCGATGCTCATGCTGTTGATCCCTGGATTGTCTGGTCCAGACTCGATTATTTTCAGACCGCTACCATATAGCTTGAATATTGCTGAGTGCATCGTAAAACTAAACTCACTCACTCACTCTATTAATTGTATTGTTATGCTATGGCAGTCTACAACTTCTACCCACTATTCCAAAACCAGAATCTAGCGAAATATGTTTAGCAAATATGTTTACCAGTTTGCTTACGAGCATAGCCATGGTACAGACAAATCTAGAAACAATGAGGGAGAACGAGGATTTAAACCCCCAATATTCAGGTATGTTGAGGAGGATGCACAACGAACTGGACATTCATCACAAATAATGGACAAAGTATCATCATTTGTAACTGTTGTCCAGTTGAACATGTATTCTGACAAATACAGTGGAGTAACAAAATACCGTTTAATGATTTTAGCATAGAAATATGGAAAACAATAACACAAATATGAAGCACAGAAGTTGGCAGTACACTGGTATTACCATCCTCGATAATCTCCAGGGTATACATTCCGATAAATTTCAACTATACCCTGGATGCATCTACTGCTCGAGCCGATGATTTTATTACCTCCCTTTGATGGCTCCGCATTCTCACAGTAGCCAATCAGATAAGCCGCCGTTACAACTGAGCTTGCCAGTGTCAACAAAGATAGCGGTCGCAGCCGCAAAAGTTTGTTCACAGTGCAACTCAGATTTGGGGAAAATATACAGACAAATTGACAGGTCTGAAATCTTTAAAAAATATATGCAAGAACTCCTTCTACCTCTTTCAGAGTACCTCTGCAACAGTATATTATTGTGTTGCCAAGTTTAATCGGTTAGATAATTTAAAAAGCGAAAGTGAGTTGTGATTGGTACACTCAACTTCCCAGCGTAGACACCTGATTGGATAAAAGCCAACCAAAGGGAGGTAATAAAATCATCCATCCAGGGTATAGTGGAGACTTATCAGAACGTAATCCCTGGAGATTATCGAGGATGTGGTATTACATGAGAATCTTTAACTCTTTCCTTCAAATTGGTTTTATATAAGAATCTTGAGCTGTTTCCTTCAACATTAATGCTGCATTTGCATATAACACATTTTGAATGATATGAACATTGTAGCTAATACACTTGTCAATCACATCATTAGAGCAGGAGCTTAAATATCTACTTTGTGGGATTGACTCAGTAGCTGTAAGAAGCATGGCACAGTATCAAGGATTATTTTGGGGTAATGCCCGATGCTGGCATCAGCTACAAAAGTTTCATTGGAATTTTATCAGCATAACCAAAGGATGATTCATAATATATCTTAAGATTTACAAATAATACTAGAATGAACCCAGCAACTTGATTAGACAACTTCCAACTTGGCATTCATTCATGTACCAAGGGAGGTAACTGGCATTTTGTGTGATTTACACAGGAAAGTGGCAAATGTAAGACTTTATAAAAGAATGAACATTTATATATTTTTTTAAATAGTCTAGACATTTTACCCTCTTAAATGATTTGATGACTGCACTAAAGGGTGTCAATGAAATGAAATATACCTAATGTTTCACCACTACATATATACTCTGCAAAAGAATTGTAATCTGATTTGTTTCCACTAGGCAGTTCTGGACTCTCATGGGGGCCATACAAGATATTGAAAACAGATGACCCTCGCCTTGACATTCAGTTGTTTTATGTGTGCCATGAGGAATGTCGGTCAGTGACAATATCTTGTGCCAAATTTGAAAAAAAATATGTTCAATTGATTATGTAATACATAAAGGATGCATCTGAAAAAAACTACTTTTGTGCTTCTTTTTTACAAAGTATACAACACAATACATTACTTAAAAAAACGTAGGTCTTCACACACTTATCTACTGCAGTCATGGGATACAGAAGGGTTCTGACTATTGAGGTATCTAAGCATGTGCTAGTCATTCAGAGGTTTCGGCTATAATTTATTGCACAGTCATAGGATACCGGTGGGGTCATGGGGTTCTGCTGGAATCTACTGCAGTCATGGGATACGGAAGGGTTCTGCTGGAATCTACTGCAGTCATGGGATACGGAAGGGTTCTGCTGGAATCTACTGCAGTCATGGGATACGGAAGGGTTCTGCTGGAATCTACTGCAGTCATGGGATACTGGAAGGGTTCTGCTGGAATCTACTGCAGTCATGGGATACTGGAAGGGTTCTGCTGGAATCTACTGCAGTCATGGGATACGGAAGGGTTCTGCTGGAATCTACTGCAGTCATGGGATACGGAAGGGTTCTGCTGGAATCTACTGCAGTCATGGGATACGGAAGGGTTCTGCTGGAATCTACTGCAGTCATGGAATATGGAAGGGTTCTGCTCGAATTTACTGCACAGTCATGGGATACGGAAGGGTTCTGCTCAAATTTACTGTACATTCATGGGATACGGATGGGTTCTGATGGAATTTACTGCAGTCATGGGATATGGAAGGGTTCTGCTGGAATTTACTGCAGTCATGGGATACGGAAGGGTTCTGGAATTTACTGCAGTCATGGGATACGGAAGGGGTCTGGAATTAACTGCAGAGTCATGGGATACGGAAGGGTTCTGCTGGAATTTACTGCAGTCATGGATATATGGACTGACTGACTGGAATTTGGTTTTACGCCGCTTTTAGCAATATTCCAGCAACATCACGGCGGGGGACACCAGAAATGGGCTTCACACATTGTGCCCACATGGGATACGGAAGGGTTCTGGAATTTACTGCAGTCAGGGGATACGGAAGGGTTCTGGAATTTACTGCAGTCATGGGATACGGAAGGGTTCTGCTCGAATCTACTGCAGTCATGGGATACGGAAGGGTTCTGCTCGAATCTACTGCAGTCATGGGATACGGAAGGGTTTCTGCTGGAATTTACTGTACAATCATTGTATTCGGAAGGGGTCTGCTGGAATTTACTGTACAGTCATTCTTCATACGGTAGGGGTCTGCTATAGTTTACTGTACAGTCATAGGATACAAAGGATTCTGCTTGACTCACGTGAGAATGAACTGAAGGAGCAACGCCAATGTTGCCGAAGAAACCAGCGTGAAGGTGTAAGCGATGCCGAAACCCATCTGTGATATCTGCTGTGGCGTCTTCCCTGGAAAGGTTGCCTTCATCCACGGACCCCCGAACAGGAAGGGTGCGTGCACCACAGTGCACCCAGGACCTGGTAACTAAGGAACCCCGCAATTGCACCCCAAACCATCTTGTCTGAAAACAACACATTCACTACTGTAGCATTATATTTATCAACATTCCACATGGAAAGGGTGAGTGAGTGAGTGACTTTAGTTTTATGCCACACTCAGCAATATTCCAGCTACATGGCGGCAGTCTGTAAATAATCGAGTCTGGACCAGAGAATCCAGTGATCAACATGTGTCAACCAAGTCAGCGAGCCTGACCACCCGATCCCGTTAGTCGCCTCTTACGACAAGCACGAGTTACCGAAGGTTCATTCTAACCCGGACCTTTACGGGTTCACATGGAAAGGGGATATTATGAGAGTATGACTGACTGACTGACTCAGTTTAGTTTTATGCCGCTTTAGCAATATTCCAGCAACATCACGGCGGGGGGACACCAGAAATGGGCTTCACACATTGTACACGTGGGGATTCGAACCCGGGTCTTCGGCGTGAAGAGCAAACGCTTTAACCACTAGGCTTCCCCACCGCCCGTATGAGAGTATGAAGATCCTTCAATAATAAGAACATGACAGACAATCGATATATTATTTCCATAGCGAAAAATCAAAACCTGCTGTGACAATACTCTGTGATATCACTGAGGTGAGCCCTGTTATTACAATACATCAACATTAAGCAGTTACACCGTTCTCTCAATCAAAAAGTAACTTGACCATGATGGTACACAGGGAAAAAGATTAACAGTAAATATGGCTTGGGAGTATTTAAAGGAATTCACATCTTATGAAAAATAGTCATCCAGGAGACAACATTTCCTATTTGTTCTTTTCAACATTCACCAAGATTGAAATGTTTAGACAGATTCCTGAAATAACTCAAGTCAAAGTGACTTAAAACCTGATTCTATCCATGAAAAGGCTAAGATTTAGGAAACAAAGAAATTCTCAAAAGCATAGCACCCTCACTTGAGCTCAAGGGAACAAAGTTGCTTCAGTAAGTATTTTAAAAGGTCACAAGTCTATAAATTTCTCTTTTCTATGCTTTTTCAGCATGTTCAGCTCTGAAGATATTTTTGCACCTGCACCTACAACATAATCTACAGTGTGGTGTTCCCTCCTAAAAACTTGACAGGTGCATGTGTTAGTTGAGGAGGGGCTCTATAAACACTGATTACTACATGTTTTTATACAAAAACAATCACTTCAACATATCATCTTACATCCTTCAGAATGTGATAAAAAGTCAATCACACTGGGTCTCCAGAAATTTAGAACATTATCACAACATACTGTGCACTGCAACCCATCCAAATTCTTCCTGGTTCACAATAATATTGTATGATGCATACCGTCTGTCTCCAACATGAACTGATATAGGTACTCTCAAAAATGTACAAAATGACTTCAACACCACTGCAGATTTGTCTGCAGGTTTAACCACTAGTGATTCAGATCCTTCCATATTCTAAAATCATCAGTGCCATTCACAATATCCTAAAGATACTTTTAAATTTTGGTGATGGCATAGAAGAATGACCTAACAGAACTTGGTAAAATGATGGAAATGTAAACAATTGCTGAGCAGCACTAAATATAGAGTTTAACTAAAGTGGTTTTAACTAGAAAAACCCAGTGTTTGATAGTATGCATCTCAATACAAACTAACACCCACAAGTATCCATTGTTTTTCTTAACCAAGCTCCTTTGTAAACACCAGGTACAGGGAACTAACTGTTCCTCTAAGTATTTTTAACATGACAACAAAGCAATAAGCAGCACAAGCTTTACAATTTTTGTCTGTGCCAAAACATTTCAAACCAACAAGATCAAACCCAGAATTTTAGCATTATTTTATATTTGTATACTTGACCATAAGACATGTTACCTAACACAAGCTTCTGACTAGTTGCTTAAGTAAAGGAACACTATTTAAAAACTTGCCTTCCACAAAACGTTTAGCTTAAAATAGTCCACAACTGTCTATTCTTTAACAATCTCATGAACACTCTCATGTTCTGGCCTGGATATCAGCATACCTATGACTCTAAGAGTTTCTGTGAGAATGGTGGTCAGCTAGCCACTATCAAAGCACCACTTGACATAGCTGAGCTACTGGTCAGGATGTGTACACGATGATAGGACACACATTCCCCTACCTAAATACAAACCTGAAGACTTGAGACACCGGAGAGACCACGATTACACCTCACAGCCCAAAAGGAGCTACACTGTCTCCATATGGGCTGTTATCCCCCCGCTTAAATATACAAGAAACTGAACAAGCACAGACACGTTTCCCAATCCTTGACCATTTCGATGTTGCAAGACTCGATACAGTTCCCTTATCCTGACAAGTACGATGTTGCAAGACTTAGGACTGATATATGAGAGGAACTGGACTTATTATAGAAATGATGACATGTTGGTGTGAGCCCTGAAGTTTTCAAATCATGAGTAGGCTATAGTCCATATTACTGTGTGATGTCCCAGCCCAATTGTCTCCTGTCAACATTATACAATTTTGTCACTGCTAGCAGATTTCACAAATGTCTGAATGGAGGCGACTAGTCTGGAACTTAAATAATCCAGCAAATGTGGATCCATGAAGAGTGAGTGAGTGAGTTGAGTTTTACGCCACACTCAGCAATATTCCAGCTATATGGCAGCGGTCTGGACCAGACAATCCAGTGATCAACAGCATGAACATCGATTTGTGCAATTGGGAACCGATGACATGTGTCAACCAAGTCAGCGAGCCTGACCACCCGATCCCGTTAGTCGCCTCATACGACAAGCATTGGTTACTGAAGATCAATATTCTAACCCGGATCTTCACGGGTCTGATCCATGAAGAACACCTTCAGACACTGTTGCTTAATAGGTATGTGTAATATTGCTCTCACAGACTCTGATGTTCTAATGATGCCAAAATCAAACGTGTAACATGTTATGGCAATTGCTGATACTTCCTTGCATGAATAGGTGTGTTTGACAACCTCACAGGTTGATTCAAAGTTCAGAAAAAGTGACTTTTTAAAGAGCTGCAACACATTTAACTAAAATACTTCAATACTTAGTTCATTATATTACATTTCTCCAAATAGAGTTATTGCTGCTTTTCCACTGCATACTGCCAGTTTCGCCATTGTAGGCTTCATGGGAATAAATAATTAAACGATTCCATGTTGTTTTTTTGGCCACCTAAGAGAACAATTTTTCATTAATGCTTCCATAAACTGAAAGCGAACGACTGTTTCCTGATTGGCTGATAAAGAGTGGGTGGGGCTAGTGTTGAATTATGCCCCTGACGAACAATGTCACTATTTTCATATCATGGACACATTTACTGTTACTGATTATAGTAGTCAAGGAAGTTACTATTCTTCACATATTTTTCATTAGAATTGACGAAAACACGTTTAGCCTTAATGGAGGCATAACATAAAAAAACAGCATGTACACATTGTGTAAATCCACAATAAAGCTTTACAAAATTTCAAAGCGTACTTGTACTCAATATACTTAATAGGAATTGCAAATTAATTTTACGTTTACACTCCTACACATTTAACAAATATCACATTTAGAGCAATGAGGTTATTGAGAGGCATATAGAAGTTGGTATTCAAGTAGAAGACAAAATATTATGGATGTCAACTTCTTGTTTATTCTATACACGCGTTTCTGTGCTTTTCCTTGCCCCTTCGTCAGCAATAAGTCTGAGAAATGGTCATATATACATTTCTCAATACATTTTGTGCAGATATGGCTTACAAGTAACAATAAATAACAGATAAAGTTTTGAGAATATGAATCAAACCCCTTGAACAAATAAATATTTCACTGGTGGGGAAAAACATGGAAAGTTTCATGAGTTATGATGAGAATCATGTTATGACGAAAACCTTAGGGTCATAGTCTAATTTCAATTATGGCCGCTGTCGGCAACATGTTTTCTGAAAACGCATCTTTCACTGCCTAGGTGATCATCACACCAATCAAGTAGCAGACCTTTGGCCTCTTACATTTTTTAGAAGTATATATTTTTAGAATTTTCAATTTTATTGCTTTGGCAAACTTGAATCCCACCATAGTAACAAACATCCACACTAAATATCAGCTAGAAAAAGAATTTGTCAAAGAATTCTAAAATGTGAAAGGTTTATTGATGATGACAAAGCTGACGTAAGCTAAAACTGAAGTCTAAAAATGTAATCTGAACATTATATTTATCAAAAGAATCATTTGAGTACACTGTATAATTTATCAAATGATTAGGAACTGGAGTTAATATCAAGTGGTACTAATCCATGAAATAGCAGCAGTCATTCCTAAACATCCACATACTTTTTTGACATGCCAATTGATGCACACTGCACTTTTTATATCTTGAAGCTTTATTTCATCCAGTAGATCTCTGCCTAAAGAACAGTCAATCATGAAGCACTAAACATTCACTCACTCACACACAGGTATGCAACCTTGTAAGTGAAGCAGATTGTTTCATCAAATTACGGCATCAGGTTTCAAAGAGGAAGTGCTAAGTAGAAGGTCAAACAGATGAATAAACAGCCGGATGATACAGTACATCTCCAGTCACCAGTGCCAACTAGAACTGATCAAAGAGATATGGACATGAATGAAATAAGGTATTTCCCAATGCCAGCTATAACAGCGGTATCACATACAGCTTGTGGCAGTCTGTGATAGATAACATCACGGCAGGTATGCGAGACTTGCTGTCTCACTAGCAGGTGCTTGCTACAGCTTCACAAACACTCTCCCCACTGACAGAGTCTGCAACACATTACTATCATGTTCCCAGTGCATCAGACCAAACACATAAATGTCACACTTCCAACCAAGAAATTATAAAACAATCTGTCTGCAAGATTCTCATATACCTACTTTTTTTCTCTTTCAAATAATTGGTTATAATAACCTACACCATGATCATCGCTGTGTGTTAACAGGTAACAAGATAAAAAAAAATATTTAGGTTTTTTAGACGCCAATTCTCTCAATTAATATCTCCTATAATTTTGGCCAATTTCAGA